CAAGATGAATTCAGTTTTTGGCAGTCAGAAAACTCTGAAAAAGTAATGAACTCAAGAACGACAAATGAGTTTATAAGACTTCACAATTCTTTATGAGATTTGGGCAAATTCTTTGAAAAAGTTCTTTTCTGTTGTCATGTCCAATGAGACTTGGGACATAATTGTCTGTCTTTTGGGCTGAGTCATTTGGAACAAGTCATGAGTCCTAGCAAGGTGATTGCACTGAAAGTGAAATGCACTGAAAGTGAAATGCACTAGGCACAACATACAGTAGTTACTCTCAGTATAGAACAGCTTACCAACTATATGCTGGCGCAAAATATGGTATGTCATCTTTAGTTTGTAATTATTTACTTGATATTAGTCTTAATATGAATATTTATCATATGAATCAAAATTTTTTGCTCAACAAATTACATAGTTAATATACTTAAACAATACGGTTTTGGTGCCAATATCTGTTAAACCTATATAAAATTAAAAATTATTGCATTACTTCTGGGAGGCATACCCTTGGGACAACTATACCATGTGATGTTGGTTGATAAACCAAATTCTGATTAAGCCAAAAAAGAATGTAAAAGCTAACAATCATGCTTCTGGCCTGGTAGAACACGTTCCCTCTGTAGGCAGAACTTTTTTTTGAGAACTGTTAACATTGTATTGCTATGGTAGTTTACAAAGGGTAAGACTGTAAGCGCACCCTCCCTGAGTGGCTCACAGTACAAAGTACATTAGTCTTCCATTATCAGTATAGGCTTATAAGATTCTGTAGGCAGAACTTTAGCAGCTTAGAAGCCTAGTGGGGAAGATCCTCCACACATCAAGGCTAGACTCAAACACTAGACGGTGGTAGATAAGAAATTAGATTGGAGAACATGGATCATGTGGTGTGAAAGCATGGTGACCACCCTGAAGCCAGAGAAACAGGTTGTTGTAGGACTATTAACTTGGAAAGAATGACATGAACTACATTTTAAAATAATAGATTTTGATCTCAAGTGAATTCGATGAAATGATTTTCAGAAACTTGAAGTCAAGCAGTTTCTTACGTCAGTTCCAAATGATTTGATTCATTTGCAGTACAATTTGAGTAGTCAAAGTCAAACTGCTGTGGCTGATACAGCATGTTATTGTCACAAGAGCAGAAAGTTGGTGAAGGCCTGATAATTGGCATTTAGGCCAGAGATTGGACCTTTGAAGCACATATATTCTCAATTTAATAGTTGCAGGATGTTTTTGGGTAGGAATGAACTCTCCATATGCTTGGATGTTTTATGATCCATTATTTTTGTCGCTTCTAAGTTTGTCAGTAGTAAAACTTGCAGTTTTATGAGGAATTTTCTGTGGACCACATTACCTTATCATTGGTGTACCAAGGTGCACCTCAAGCCACCTACTCGCCGTGGCCTGACGCGAGTTACTCAGGTGAGTCCAAGTGGACTTGCCCGAGTAGTGACCTACATTTAAAAAAAAAAGAAAAAATCTCTTTTAAGAATTTAACTGGGAAAATCCTCAAAAATTCAGAAAAAAAAGAAAGGTCCTAAGCTGGTCACGTGCCCAGAAGAGGCATGTGGCTAAGAGGAGTGAGGGGCTGCTGCCTCCTTTCTCTCTCTCTCTCTCTCTCCACCCTACAGCCACCTCTCTCCTTGCCCTGCAGTCTCTCTCTCCCTCTTCAATCTCTCTCTAGTCTCTCTCCCCCATCCCAGTCATCTCTCTTCTCCCCCCAATCTCCTTGATCTCTCTCTCTCCACCCTACAACCACTTCTCTCTTCTTGCCCTGCAGCATCTCTCTTTCCTTCTTCAATCTCTCGCTGGCCTTACTCCCTCCTCCCCAGTCATCTCTCTTCTCTCTCTACTCCGCCATTCTCCCTGACCTCTTTCCAATCCCCCTGGTGCATCTGTTCTTGTCTTCCATCAATAACAAAAGAAAGAAGAAAGCCCAATTTTTCAGAAAAATAAGAAGCTAAAAACCCATGAGAAAAAGGATCAAAGAGAAATAAAGTGCGCAGCTGTTGAAGAAAATGAGAAGCTCCATGGTGCTTTCCTCCCAAGCAACCAATCCATCTCTGTTTCTCTCTCTCCCCGTAGGTGGATTTCTACTCCCTTTCTTCCACTCTCTTCAATGCTACCCTGTGGGTAGAGAGAGAGAGAGAGAGAGAGAGAGAGAGAGAGAGAGAGAGAGAGACGTAGTAGTAGAAGGAGGAGAGAGAGAGGAGACGAGAGAGTAGAGTAGAGTAGGTAGGGTAGGTCGTCGTCGTAGTTATTAGTAGTAGTAAGTAGAAGAGACGACGTAGTACGTACTACTAACCTA